TAAAGATGTATTTATGTCCTAAATAAAACCAAACATTTAATCCAGTTGATAACTTGAGATAAAACTATAGAGGTGCTTTAGTGCTTAAGCTGTTTTCCAAAGAGTAGACAAACATTTCTGTCTCTAGAAATACCCTAAAAGCCACCATGATGGCAAAGAAACATGGCCGACTCAGGTATACATATGAATGCATCACTCATCAGTTTAGGTTTTATGAACCTTTTTTTGAAGACTATATCCATTTCCTTCAGTTCTGTAATGCTTTGTTGGTTTGACATATAAAATACAAATAAAACTGATTTTAACATCACAAAATAAGAAGGTATGAATAATTTGACTGTCCCATCGTGGACTTGTCTAACATGTGGACTACGTGTTGCGGTCGCAGTGGGTAACCAGATCCTGTCCTCTCTGGGTGAAGAGGTCAATGTATTTCTCTGCAACCATTTACACTGAACACAATGTTGCCCAAATTAAGGGCAAAGATTACAAAACATAGTAAAACTGTTTCAGATCATCATTTAAATACAATCCAGCACTATGTCAGTTAAAACAATGTTTTCTACAAATGTTTCAGAACATTTCTGGACATCATCATTATTATTAATCACCTCTAACCAATCAGGAGGTTAAATGTTATAGAATATTTTCTATTCTATCTTTTTGGCTTGTTTTCCTCTTTAGCTGATGCACTTTTGGGGTTAAGTGCTGAGAAACAGGAATTTTTAATAACAGAGGATTTGTCCCCATGGTAGAAATACCAAACAGGGATCCGTTCCCACTGCCCTGCATATTTTACTTTGCTTGCTTCTTTATTACCTGTGACTTTATATGCTTTGTAAATACTTTCCATTACTGTCATATGACGTTTCAGGAAGATTCTTATCATTATCTTTACAATATAAAAACACAAGCTCTAGTGTCATACTAAAGAACAGGAAGACGCAGAACGTAAGTGCTGCTTTGCTGTTGGGGATATTCTTGTTATTTAACTTGTAGAAAAAAATATCTAATCTAGAAATCCTTTATTTTTGATAACCTTTGGTAACTTGTATTGCTTTTTATTTGTAAATTGAGTTTTAGAGTTTCTTTTTTTCTGAAAGAGCTGTTGCAAACTGAAGGACACTAAATGATACCGGGAAATTATCTTTGACATTGTTAATATAATTTAGTGTTAAATATTGTTGAGGTATTGTCTCCTATCCAGTGTGACTGACTTGAATTGACTGAAGGTAACTAGAGTCTTTTCACTGAAGCATTCTGGGTGAAGAAACAGGAATGTGTTTGTTTAGTAGAGAATCAAGGAGCAGCATTTAAAACAACATTTTTGAGCAATAAATTAAAGCCCAGACATTAAAAAGCAATGAAAATTAAACCTGAAGTAGTATGTGGCTAGCAGCATCCATGAAATAAAAGGTTGTAAAAGGTGTTTTCTGGCCGCATGGATGTTTTTAACACAAATGCCAGTTAACCCTTTATAGGGCACTCTGTGAAATCCTTTGAAAATCCACATTTCAAGCCAATAGTGTTATTGGAATCCTTCTTTATTAGCGAAATTACCTTTTTTCCTTGACTTTCAAACATTTCAATTAGCTTTGTACCTTTTGTCTTTGACTTTTTGATTTTTTTTTGTATACATTTTTTACCTTTTTTTTCTTGACTTTTTAACTTTTTTGTTTTTCCACTTAATTTACAGTAGGTAATATATCATTCAAGGGCTCATCTAATTGGTCAAATGCCAAAATAAGATGCAGCGGACTGGCACCGGTCCGTGGGTCATTTGGTACCGATCTATGTATATGTATATATATATATATATATATATATATATATATATATATATATATATATATATATATATAGTATTGTTAAAAGGGAAACCCTCACATTTTCTTTCAATCAGCAAAAAACAACTTTCGCCTGTTTTAATGTAGATAGAATTTTTTTTTTTTTTTATTAGCACTAGTTTCGTAGCCTAATATTATTTGAACTAACTAGCATGAATAAAATTTGTATTTTGTGCTCCAAGCACACACATATGCATACGGACTAGAAAACAGCCAATCAGGAAGAGAGAAGGCGGAACTTGAGGCAGAACAACCAATGAGAGTGGAGCTAAACAGCACAGTTACTGATTTTAGGGACAGGACTCAGATGGAGCGGCTGCAGCAGCTACAGACAGACAGTGGCTGTGTGTGATCCACCACGCTGAATTGTAATTTATAAACATTTTATATAAACATGTTATTCAAATAGAATTTAAGAAGGTCAATCCAAAATTTTGGTAGGGACATGTCCCTATGGTCCCTGTGCAAACCTTCACCCATGGTTGGAACATCAACAGATTAAACAAACCTTTATGTAAAGAAGATTCAAAGCGCTACAGAGGTCTATTTTCCAAAATAAAATGTTATAAAGAAACAAGACTTTGCTAGAAAAGAACATAATACAGAGCAATAAACGCTGTGACTTAATAATAACTGACTTCCCCAAAAGAATAGAGTTTACAAAATATAATGGGAAGCAAATATAAGGTGAGACTTTTCTTACAGACTTGATTACACAAAAAACTATGAGCCAACAGTCACCATCCTGTCCATTCTGCAGCAAAACACCAAACAGTCAGGATTAGTTAAGCTTTTTCAACCAGCCTGATTAAGAATATATGCATGCACTTATATGTACTTAAAGTTTTAATAATTAGCTACCTTTAGAGGTTGGCCATCTTTAAATGGAGGAAAACGGTAAACGGTAAAAGACAAAAAAACTAGACTTCATATTTGTGTAATTTCTGTTTGATTCCCTCTTTTCAAAGTCTGCGTCTTTACCGATGAATCTGCCCTAACAGTCGCTTATTTTAGCAAAGAGTAATTCCTTCTACAAGCTTTGTTGAATTATACGTTAACGTAGCGTATTCGTGTTCCTGAGGAGTAAACTCTGGATCCTCTGGGTCACATTTCACTCATTACATGAAAGCCTCATCAGCTTTAAAAGCTCTCAAATCCTCATTATTTTCCACATGTGATCACGTTGCTTTGCAGCGTTAAACCTCACCAAATATAGCACAAAGTAATTGGTAAGTAAGCAGTTTAAAAGCAGTTACTATATAGAGCATTGCCATCTTTTCACCTGTTAGCTAAAGACTTGGCCTTTCCGATATGGTGCATGATAAGAATTTGTGTTGACACTTTCTGTGTACCACAATGTTTCCTCATTTAGTTTTTTAGCATAAATTACACAATATGTTGCTAGGATAGAGTATAAGTAAACGCTGCCTTATTGCTTGAGAAATGTGTCGCCCAGTAAGTTGGATTTAAAACCTCTCTGCCGAGATGTTGTTTTTCTTTCCTGTACGAAAGTAATTGTACTTTTTTCAGGGTTCTGTTTTTTTTGTTTTTGCTGCTAATGCTGCTTTTCTTTGTTCCTGCTCCTGGAAGCCTTAGTAATACTTTGCCTTTTGTGTCCAGGGTGAGATGGGAAACGAGGCTGAAAATCAGACGGAAAATGTCCAAGATGTTCCGAAGTCCTACTTGCTCACAATCAACCTTAAGGAAGGACACAACCTGGTTATCCGGGACCGCTGCGGTAATGATCTCCTCGTGAAACAGACGCAGCTGTGACTCACTGATTATTTATTTTATTTATTTGAATTAGGACAATGCACATTCATCAACATGTCAGAATAAAGCATCAATGTAAATATGGCAGAATTAGCACAACAGCTAATTTGCATCCACTGTCCTAAGGCAGGTAAAAACAGTGAACATTAAACAAGACGCTACAGGAGAGAACAGAGAGGACACAAACAGATAAGATGCCAATAACATAAAATCACAATAAAATTAGGTTAACAATAAAATGGAAACAGATCAGTTTACCTGTGAACACATGTCTGGTTAGTTTTCAACCAATGATTTAAGGAGAATTTAAAACGTATGTAAGTTACACAGCCCCTGGATGCAACCATTTGGCCAAATTTGGTCCTACGCCGCTAAACATTACAGTCTCCTCTGGTTAAAGCTCTAGTCTTTATTCTAGTAATGTTTTTTTGCTCATAAAATCTGTTAGAGGAGGATTAGCAAGTCCATTTAAAACTCTAAAAACAAGGCATGCATCCAGAAACATCTGATGACGCTCAACGTCTAAAATGTTGTACTTACTTAAAATGTTACTTACTT